GGCTCCACGAACATCAGTGATTGTCTCCCGGCCACACAGCGGGTAAGAAGCAGAGCCTGGATCTGAACCCGGGTCCTGACTCCCACAGTCCACAAGCTTGACTCAGAAATGCTCCTCCACTCGGATCAGCACCATCGTCCACCCTGGAACAGCCCTGTGCAATCCCTGGGCTTGAACTTTCAAGGTGGGGTTTTTGGGAAGATCTTTTTCTCTGTTGCAAAAAATGGCTTTCAGTTTCCTCCTCTACGTTTTAGACACCGTTTGCTTTGTGCGCAGTGATGACGTGAGCATGATGATCAAGTGATAACTCATGCTTACTGAGAGCCACGCTGGGTCAGGCTCGATGTCACAACCACCCTAGGAGGTAGGTTCTGTTATTGTTCCCGTTTTACAGGTGAGGAAACGGGGGCTCAGAAAAGAGGAGTCATTTCCCCAAGGTCACAGGGCAAGGGGATGACAGAGCAGCGTTTGTAGACTGGACTGCCTCGCTCCAGAGCTCATGGTCTCCATCCCGAGCCCACAAGGCTTCCTCCACCATGTCCCACCTTCCTCCATCATGTCTGAACTACCACGCCTGGAGCAATTGTTGGAACAGGGCTAGAAAGGGTCGCAGCCAGCTGCACAGCATGCCGCGGTGTCGGCAGAAGAAGCAGGACCAGGCTTGTCTGCCTCCCACTCCTGTGCTCTCTGTTCCTGCCTCACGGGCCCGTAGAGGCAGAGGGCAGGTCCCCACCTGCTGATGTGCAACTCACCCGTGCAGGCCACGGCGGCGAAGACCCAGCACTGGCCGTACTTGACGCGCTGGCAGCTCTCGCTCTTCCAGCGCCGCAGGATGTCCACACTGCCGATCCAGAACATGGGGCTGATGCCGTCCTCGTACTTGTTGTCCCAGCGACCCAGCAACACGCCCTGGTCATCGTTGCAGTTGACCTGCAACCCGGGGATGCGTCATGAGCCTGGGGAGAGGGTGCCTGCTGCACTCCGGTGAGCATGAGCGGAGGAGGGGCAGCAGGTGCAAAGGGACCTGGGTGTGACAGATAGCAGTGTGTGGGACTTGGTTGGGGGCTGGAGACCGGGAGGTGGGGAGAAGAAGGGAGAGGAGAAGAGGTGCGGAGGCGGCCGCACCGTGAAGAGTTTCCGGCTTGGAGATGTGGGTCTGTCTGCGGAGTGCTGGGCCACTAGGGAGGGGGTGGTGTGGTGTGGTCTGAGTTTTACAAAAATCCACTCTGGCCCCACTTCCCCTCCTTCCCTTAAAGCTTCCCAAACTCCCATCACCTCCAGAGTAAGCTCCTGCTTCCCGGTCACAGCCCATGCCTGATCTGGCCCCTGCCCACTGCTATCTGTATCCTGGAGGCCCCTGGCTCATGTCACTCCAGCCACACTGGCGTCCCTTCTTGTCCCCAACCCCTCCTTGGAGCCTCTGCATAGCTTTGCTCTCAGCCTGGGCCACACTTCTCCTCCTTACTGAGTCAGCCCCAGCCTCCCCACCTTGGGAGGCCCTCCCTGAGCCCCACCCCCACCCACCGTGGTCAGAGGCTCCCCACTCTGGGCTGATCACGTGTGGCATGCCTTTTAATAACCAGCTGCTCTCATTATTAGCCTGTGATAACGTGGCCAATGTTGGTTTCCTTCCACCTCCTAAAATGTGAGCTCGGAGAAGTTAGAGACCACGGATATCTTGTGGCCAATGGTATCTGCAGTGCCTGGGGCACAGGTGGCATTTGGCAAATGGTGGATGGAGCTTTGGGGAGCTGGTTGGCACCACTCTCTTTTGTGGGAACCTGGTCTTCCCAAACACGCAGACCTGCTCATCTCCTGGATCTTCCTCCTGCTACTGCGCAGCACAGAGCAAGACCTCGGTTGTCACAGACAGGGAGGTGCTAGGAGTCCTGACCCCGCGGTGGTCCCCACCCCCGCAACTCACCATGGCGCTCACCACCCGGCCCACGTAGATGGGGCTGCTGCGGCGGGAGCAGTCTCGGTTGGCATTTCTCAGGAACTTGGGGTTGACATTGAGGAGTTGTAGGCAGGTGTCCAGGATCCCCTCCTCAAACTGTGACCGAGGAAATGAGGGAGAACGAGGGGCGTGAAACGCCAGCTCCCCTCCAAGGTCCCAGCACCTGAGGCCCTGCCCGCCCGTGCCACTTCACACAGCGGACACCGGGGCCCAGTCTGTGTCACCCCCATCTCTGAGATGCCAGCATCTCTGGGCCGTGAAGGGGGCAGGCAGCCACTGAGCAGGCCATGAATGTGTGACACTAGGGAGGGAGAGGGTGGCCAATGCATCTGCATTGAGGGCCCAAATGGGGCACTCTGGGAATTTGGGGTGGGTCCACAGAGAGGGGAACCCAGCAACTCTCAGTCACCTCAGGACCCCTTTACCTACAACCCCTTGCTGCTTGTCTGAATCCCCCACTATCCCTAGGGCCCCACTCACCCTTCAGAGGCACTGAGAGGCCCGTGCCTCACTCGACTCGGAACTCAGGTGGATCCCAGGTCCTGCTTAACCAGTGTGAGCTCACCCTTCACCACTTAACCTCACACTCATTCTGTCCCAGGCTCACTGCCCGAGGGTGCAGGCCTTGGCAGTTTCCTCTGCCAGGAACGCTCTTCCTACGGCTTGCTCTGTGCCTGGCTCCCACCTTCTCATCCTTAGGGTCAAAAGTCAAATGCCATCTTGTATCCCAGCAGGACCACTCCCTGTCACCTTCCATTATACTACCCCGGTTCATTTCTTGTCACCCTCTCCCATGCTCAAGGGCTCTCTCATTGGACCACCGCTCCCCCAGCCAGACAGCCAGTCCTTGGCTGATCCTTAGCTCCCTGAGTAGAAATAAGTGGTGGTCTTTTAAACATCTAAATTCTGAGCTCCTTTGTTGCTCAGCAATAGCTGATTCATACAATCAAACCAGTAGTTCTCAAAGTGTGGTTCTTGGCCCAGCATCATGGCCACCTTCGAACCTTCTAGAAACATGCATTCTCAGATCCCACTGTTATTCAAAAAATAAAACAACAAACCTCACTGCTACCAAGTGGATGCGACTCACAGCAACCCTATAGGACAGGGCAGAGCTGCCACTCTGAGTTTCTGAGACTAACTGCTTACGGGAGTAGAAAGCCCTGTCTTTCTCCCTCCAAGTGGCTGGTGGTTTTGAACTGCTGACCATGCGGATCACAGCTCATGGGTAACCACGATGCCACCAAGGTTCCCCTAGGTCCCACTCTAAACCTTCTGAATCAGACACTTCAAGGGTGGAGTCTGTCAACGGGTGTTAATACACTCATCCTGAGGCTGTGATGTGCACTCACCTTTGAGAACCACTGGCCAAAATTATGGTTAAACCCCCGACTCAACCCACAGTGGGTGTTCCCCCTGTGATATGGTATGTGACCCTGCCTGCCCCTCCCTCCTGATGCCTTCCCCACCTTGAAGCCTGGTAGTCAGGTCAGTCCTCTGCTGCATGACCAGGGCCCTCTCTGAGCCCACAGCCATTCTGTGGCCTCCCTGGCACCTGCTTGCACCTTTGGCTGCCCAGGGCTGGCACCCAGCAGGGCCTGCGAGCACCAGGTGTGGGGGATGGAGGGCAATGTAGCATACCTGCCCAAAGTTCCAGGGCACACTCTTGATGAACTTGGCCGAGCCCTGGTAGATGAAGCCCTGCTGAGCGAGGACATACTCCTGCCGCTCCTGTTCCGAGTCCAGGTACACGTCATCCGCTGTGGGTGGGAAGGAAGGGTCAATGGTTCTGGGGCTGGTGAGGCCCAGGGTCCTTGCAGACATGCAAGCAGGGTGCCAGCTCCCCAGGCCAGATGGGTGACTCCGAAGCTCTTCTCTCTTGTGATCTTGGAAACTAATCCTTGAGAACATTATGTTTAGCAAACCCAGTCAGTTTTAAGAAAGATAAATATTGAATAGCACCACTGCTATGGGGGGGGGGGGAGACAAAGAAATGTGGTTTATATAACAATAGACAAGACCACGGTGATGACCGCAAGAAGGCTAGGGACCAGGGTGGGACCAGGGAGGGGGTGGGGGAAGGTTATTGAGAGGAGAAGGAGGAAGATGGGGAGTGAGGAGAAACAGAACCACATATATGGAGGGTTTAACGGGATATTGTTGATTTCTTTCTTTCTTTCTTTCTTTTTTGTGTGTGTTTGTAATGTTTTTTTTAAAAATCAATTTATTGGGGCTCATACAATTCATCACAATACATAGATCAATTGTATAAAACACATCTATACATTTGTTGCCCTCATTATTCCCAAAATTCGCTTGCCTCTTGGGTTCCTGGAATCAGCTCATTTTCCGTTTTTTCCCCCCTCCCCTTCCCTTCCTCCTCCCCTCTCTCCCATGCACCCTTAATAATTGATAAATTATTATTGTATCTTATATTACACTGTCCGGCATCTCCCTTCACCCACCCTTCTGCTGCCCGTCCCCCAGAGAGGAGGTTATACGTAGCTCCCTGTGATCCATTCCCCCTTTCTTCACCCCCTTTCCCTCCTGGTATCGCCACTGTCACCCCTGGTCCTGAGAGGTTCATCTGTCCTAGATTCCCTGCGTTTCTGATTCCCATCTGTCCCGCTGTGCATCATCTGGTCTAAGATTTCTTTCTTGAGATGGGCTGTGTCAATATATATTGCACGTGTCTTTAAAAACCCAGACCAAAATAATCCTTCCAGATCTTTACGAAGAATCGGTGCATTTGAATATAGTGCAGGCGAAGCATACTGAAAAGCACCAAGGACTGCCAAGCCAACGCAGCACACATCTGTCTCGGAAGTATGACCGGAATGCTCCCTAGAGGCAAAGATGGTCAGACTTCGTCTTACATACTCTGGACATGCTGTCTGGAGAGACCAGTCCCTGGAGAAGGACACCATGCTTGGTAGAGGGGCATGGAAAAAGAGGAAGGCTCTTAAGGAGATGGGTGGACACAGTGGACCTCACAATGGGCTCAAACATCAGAACAAGGTGAGGCTGGCGGGGGCCGAGCGGTGCTTCCTTCTGCTGCGCGTGGGGTTGGACTATGAGTTGGAACGGACTCCACAGTAACTAACGACAACAACAATCGCTATGGAAGCAGCCTGTTGCGCTTTCTCCCGTGGCAGGGCCGGTGAGTCCAAACTGGCGACCTTTCAGTTAGCACCACCAGGGTGCCGGCACAAAGCAGGGATGCTGTAATTCAAGGTGGAGAGAGTTCAGTGCAAGAGGGGAATGCCAGCCAAGGGAGACTGCAGCTCAGGTGCAGTGGAATCCTGTCCACCTCGGGTGGGTTCCCAGAGGAGGTGGCATCTGTCTTGTTAAATGACAAAGGCTTGGATACTTGGAGGGGTGGTATTGTAGGCCGAGGACCAGAGAGTGCCAAGGAACACCCCCCAGAAGATGCAGGGCACTCAGTCCTGGGGCCAGAGGGAGGGGCTCTGGAAGCTGGATGGCAGGCCGGCCTTTATAGCCCACTTCACAGAGGAAGAAACTAAGGCCAGACACGCGGGGCCGCCTGAGGATGCTGGTGAGCCCTGGGCGTTCTTGCTATCGTGGGACCCTCCGTCCATCAAAAAAGGATAGCTAAAAACCGAACATGTTCCTGCTATGACTGCACTGGGTGACGATAGCCATATTGCTGTTTGTGAGGGTGGCACCGGGCAGGATGGCCTCTCATCGTGTTGTCCACTAGGTAGCTGCGAGTCAGAGCCGACTTGTCAGCACCTGACAATCAAAACCACGAAAACCAAACTCGCTGCCAACTCACAGCGACCCGAGAAAGCCGTATCTTTTGTTCTCCCACAGAGCGACATGTGTAACCATGACGTCACCAGGACTCCCAGCACCGGACAGCAGCAACCACAACCACAGATTGCAGTGATTTGAACTCAGGTGCCCCTGGGTGTAGGACTGTGCCCCAAAGGCTGGATATTCAGAGGCAGCTCAGCAGGGCCTTCTAAGTAGGTGGGACCCACAAATCTCGAGGGTAGCCCATTAAACCTTGCACTGCCCGTGGATCCCCAATCTACCTATATAGGTGCCTATCTAGAGACATCTTCTTTGACTTGAAAGTGGGTGCTTTCTTCTGATTCCAAAAGCAACGCGTACAGACCCGGCCCCTGGGCTTGGAGCACACCATGCTTGGTGCAGAAGTCAGCCCTCTGACCCCCACGCATTCCCTGAAGGGCCAGGCCATGCGCAAGCTGCTCTGGGGGAGCCCTGGCATCGTGGATAGGCGTTGGGCTTGCTAACTTTCAGGTCAGTCTTTCAAAGCTACCAGCTGCACTGCAGGGGAAAGATGAAGCGTTTTGAGAAGTTACAGTGTCAGAAACCTACGGGGTCCGTTCCACCCTGCCCACAGGGTTGCTATGGGTCTGAAGGAACTCCACCGGCAGTCAGTTTGAGTGGGTCTTCCACCCGGATACCCACCCCTCCCCCCATCCTAGCGAGGAAAACAAATATGAAAGTGGCTGCATTCTGGGAACCACAGCCGGCAGTGCATAAAAACTCGTCTTACAATAACAACCTGATTGTGCAAATCAGAAAAGAAAGGAAAACCAGGTTTTCACCAGCCCAGGGAGAGTGACCCAGTCCGGCCCTGGGCTGGTCTCACTCTGGCAAAGGTCCTGGGGGCTTTGGGGACAAGAAGCACATGACTTGCTTTGGGCTGGGCTATGTCAGTCTGGGAGATCAGGGGAGGAGGGTCTCTATCCCTCTCCTCCTCCCAAATCCGAACAATTCCTGGCACCTCCTCCCCCCCACCCCCACCACCCTCTGCACAGCTTCCTGTCTCCGGATCATCAGTTCCACCCTTGGGATATGGGTCACTTTAGTCACCCTGCTGTCTGGCTGACCGCCACCTCAACTCTCCGCTGGCAGGGAGGGAGGGGAGAATGTGGGAGGAAGGGGGCCCTCCCAGATCCTTACTACCGGTTCCCTGATCTCTGGAGCCTGCGGCCCTGGCGGCACGTGCCCCGCTCGGCGCAGGGCTACCAACTAGTTTCAGCCTCTACAAACGGGCACTCATTCCAAACACACCTGGAAGCACTCCATGTGGACGGACACGGGAGCACTGCTCCCTGCAGCCCGGGGGAGCCATCTGGAAGGACCTCAAGTCCCCATGTCCGGAAGGTCCACGGCACTCGGGCTCTCAAAGCAAAGAGGGAGGATGGATGCAGATTTACGCAGGCGGATCTCAAGGCACATTGTAGAAGGGAAAAACAAGTTCATGGGCGGTTCCGATCCAGACAGCGGCACCATGGAAGCTCGGCCCGGCGCGCCCCATCGACTTCCGCAAAGATGGAAGCCCAGAATGCGCTGTGGAGCGCAGTAACACGTGGGGATGCCTTGGGTGGGAATCGGCTCACCAGCGACCTTCCCCAGCATGCCTCCTCGGATTTATACTGTATATATACGGTGCCCTTTTATGGCTAAAGATGACCTAAACCTAAACTCTGTCATTATGTGCATTCTGATTCATAACGATCCAACCAGAGCAGAACTGCCCCCATGGACTTGCTTTTGAGACTAACTCTTTATCGGAGTAGAAAGCCAAATATGGCAATTTCTCCAAGCGCACACACCACATGATGGCCCAGCGAGGGTGTCCCTCTGCCACAAGGCCCAGTGGTTCCCCTTAAAAAAAAAAAAGAAAAAAGGGAGGTGGGCGTAGAGATGGGGTGGTCTCACCAGTCCGGTGCTTGAATCTTTTATAAGGAGGCTATGGCAGCCTCTATCTTGCTGTTATAACAAGACACGAAAGGCAGAAGATGTAAAAGAGAGGAAAATTAATCTATCTGCTCAAATGTTTATAAAATGCCCCCAAGCTAAAGCAGTGAGAAAGGAAGCAGCCACCGCGGTGCCCAGGCCTGGGAAGGTCAGAATTTCCACCACCCGCCCAGGCTTTGGGGGGAGGTGGGGGAGCTGCCAATTCTAAGGGCAGGACCCACTCCCACGGTGTCGCAGGAGGAAGAAACCACGGTCAGATCCAAACGCCTCCATTGTTAAATAGGGAAACTAGGCCTGAGGAGGGAGGGGGCCCACAGCCCCAGCCTCCTCTCTGTGGCTCAAGCAGTCCCAGGAGCATTCCCCAGGGCTTCCTGGGGACTTTCCAGCCCTGATGACTGACTGAGTGAACCAAAAGTCAGCCAAACGCACTGCCATCAAACCAATGCCAATTCACGGTGACCTCATAGAGCAGGCTAGAACTGCCCCTGTGAGTTTCTGAGACTGTAAATATTCACAGGAGTCAGAGGGACTGGTGGTTTTGCAGATCACAGCCCAATACACAACCACTTCACCACCAGGGCTCCTGACTTCTTGAGAGTGCTCTGGGAGAGGGGAACACTGACGTCTCCCCTTGGGACTGTGGAGAGGAGTCACTGAGAAGGTGTATAAGGAGGGGCTTCAGAACTCGATTGATCTTTACCCACCTCTCCTGGACACCTCCCTTCCTTTCTTTCACTGTCCTCGGTTTCCCTCCCTACACCAGTCGGGTTAAGATTTAAAACAGAGTCCGTGAAACAGAACCAGGACGTGGCTAGCGCTATGGCTCTGGGCCTGAGTCCGGAGGAACCCAAGATGTCAGCCTGCCTCGGTTCTTGGTACTGTGGAGCCCCTGGGCCTCCGCCTCGGAAGGAACTGGGGTGAAATTCCTTAGGGATTGTACAGCCTTGGGTGTGTCCTGTAACCTACCAAAGTCTGTTCACTCATCTATAAATTGGGGTGAAAAGGCGTCAGGGATTGACTTGTGTCCCCAAATAAACGTAAATCTGCACCCCTCCATGCTGGTGGCATCGCAGTCACACTTTGGGCTGCTGACTGCAAGGGGGGCAGGTGGAGACCACCAGCTGCTCTGGGGGAGAAGGGCGGAGTTTTCTGCTCCCCTAAAGAACTAGTCTCAGAAAGGCACAGGGCCAGTTCGACCCTGCCTGATAGAGACACGGAATTGACTCGCTGGCAGTGAATGTGGAGGGGTGTGTGTGTGTGTGTGTTTGTGTGTGTGTGTGTGTGTGTGTGTTTAATGCCTGTGACTGGGCAAATCTGATGCACAGACCTCTTTAAAGTGTTCACAAGCAAAGGTATCACTTTGCTTGTGCTATCTATTGTTTGAGTGGGTCTTCCGCCCGGATACCCACCTCCTCCCCTGGATCCTATCGCGGAAAACAAATGTGAAAGTGGCTGAGTTCTGGAAATCACGGCCCAGCGGCCTGCTCTTTGTTCTCAGCAGCAGTGCATAAAAACTTGTCTTAAAATAAACAACCTGATTCGGCCAGTGGTATTCTCCAGCCCTCCTGAGCCTGTGCAGGCAGGGAAGGCCAGAGGGGAACTGGTGCATTTGGGTTGTGATGCTGGTGGAGATACGGACTATCCGGAGGTCGCTGGGAGAACAAACAAATCTGCTGTATGTGGCAAGTACAGCCAGCATGTTCCTTGGAATCAAGGATGATGGGACTTTGTCTTGCGCACACTTTTGACATGTTAACCCGAGAGCTCAGTCCCCGGAGAAGGACACTGTGCTTGGAAAAGTAGAGGGGTCAGTGACACGAGGAAGAGCCCCCACGGCGTGGATTGACACAGGGGCTGCAACAGTGCCCTCAAACGCAGCGATGCAGCCATGAGTGTAAGGTGTCCGCTCAGGGACACCGAACAACAACATGCCTGTGGTTCGAATTCCTTTTGGGCCAGGTGTGTTTGTCTTTGTTATGTTAATGAGCTCAGATGAGTGTGGGGATGGTGGGTGTAGAGCCAACCTCCTTTGAGATATAAAAGAGAGTCAATCATTGAGCTTCTACTTCAGTAGTCCCTCAATGCAAGAACA